ATATATATATATATATAATGCTGTTAAGTCTTTGAGAACAGTCTTGCTTCCTTGCAGAGCATTTCATTCCGTTCCCATTTACTAGTTTCCATTCTTTGTGACTGTTTTTCATCTAAGGGTTCTCTGTCCTGCATCCCTTCATCATTAGCTCCTCTCAGGTAGTGTGTAGTCATGTTGAGTTGTATAAAAGCAGTTCTAGACTTTCTTCTTTGTTCCCATTTCTTAGGTGATTCCACTGACATTTAGAACTTTGAAAAAAAAATCTCTAAATTGATAAATCCCAAATTTATATTGGCCCAGGTATCTCTCCAGATTGCCAGATTCATATCCAACTCCGTTGGCATCTCCTTTTCTGTGTCTAGTAGACCCCTCAGTATGTCTGAACCAAAGCCATTAATTCTTTTCTCAGGTTTTTTTTCTCTCTGTAAATTTTCTCTATCCAGCCAGGCATGGATATTAGAGGCATATCCTTGTAATTCTAGCAGTTAGTGGGTAAAGGCAGGAAAATTGTAAATTCCAGACCAACCTGGGCTAATGAACAAATTTCAGCCTGCCTGGGCTATGTAGCTAGACCCTGCCTTTAAAAAAAAAAAAAAAAAAAGAAAAAGAAAAGAAAAACAAAACAAAAACAACATCTACTTGTTTAAGCTAAGCATTTAGTTGTCACCCTTAATTCTTTATTTTCAAACTTGACTCTGAAACCAATAGGCCTTATTAGACCTATTTCCAGAATATATTTTGAATCTAACACTATTTTGCATTCAGTGTCACTATCTGAGCTTCATTTTAACTGTATTATTAACACTCCTCTTCTTTCCCCCATCCTCAGTGATAGAATGGAAGTCAGGGCCTCCAGCATGAACTGTAGACCACTGAACGACAGTCCTAGTCCTCTTATTTTCCTTGGAAGAGACAGAATTTCTCTGTGTTGTGCAAGCTAGTTTCAGATTAAAACTCTTGCCTCAGCCTCCCAAGCTGCTGGGACTACATGCATGTGCATTCTACCATGTCAGACTAACTCTTGTTTCTAACCTGCTTCTATGGCCAATCAATTTTTCATAGTTCTGGGTGATTTTCAAAATTTCATTAAATCATGTTTTCCCCTGATAAAAATCCTTCAGTCGTTTGCTGTTTAAGATAATTTGCATTCATAAGCCCTCTTTGATCTCCATTTGTCTGACCATCCATCCTCACTTCATGCCACTCTCTTGTATTCATCAAATATTTCAAGTTTTTTCCTTCCTCAAAACAGGACATGTGTTACTACTTCTTTCTCCCTGTATGTCTTCCTCTTTATCCTTTGGTATTAGTTCTGATTTCTTTTGCAGAACAGCTTATCTTCCCTCACTGTTTAAGTAACCAGCTCTTTCTTGGCCTCTGTTAAATCTTCCAGTTTATTACATTTATTGTTTTAACACTTAACTCCTACTGCAATCTGGAAATCTCCTGTTGGTTTTACTTGTCACTCTTCTCCTTAGTCCTTGAGGACATGTTATAAGTTCTCAAATGTGTTGAACAAATGAAATTACAGTGTCTCCTTCCTAGTAGCTTAATAAAATTTCAACTGTAAGTAGCAGCATAAAGACCAAAACTAATGAGTACACTAGTTAAGGAATTCTGGGTCAGGTCTTAATCTTCCTGATCTGGGGTGGGAGGCAATTTAAAAATCATGTTGACTGATTGATAAGTTTTGTTTTCCTTTAGTTTGTAAAACACTTATTCAAGTAATTACTAATTTTAGATTATTCAAGATACTAGTATTATTTGACCTTTCATTACTAGAAAATTACTGATACTGGAAGAGTAACCCAAGGTTAACAAACATTTGTATTACTTTAAAATGTCTTAAAGCATTTCTTTTACCAAATTTGTTTTAACAATGACACAGTCTTGCTGGATCACTTTCTTGTCTGTACAGTATAAGAGAATAGGACTAGGCAATCCCTTCTGGATTCTGTTCTCTGATTGCTGAATGGATTGTGTTTATATTTCCTACCAAAAGTCTCAAAGAGTTAGTGTCAAATTGCCCGGGCTAGTTTACTTTAGAATGGTAGAATAACAGGTTGTACCAAAAAAACAAAATCTTTTTTAAATAAAAATTTTAAGCATGGCATTTGAACTTTTATAGCTGCTTCTAAAATATTCCCATTTAATTTATTTGAGGGGGACATTAAGTATTATCTAGTGGTTGTTTTCAGTAATGTTTTATATTCTGTTCACTAAGGTACATGAATTAAGTTGCATTTTAAAATACCACCCTTTATTTATCTTACTGTTAAATAGGATGTATCATTGGCACAAACTGCACAGCCCACATCAGCTATTGTTCGTCCAGCATCATTACAGGTTCCCAATGTGCTGCTCACAAGTTCTGACTCAAGCGTAATTATTCAGCAAGCAGTACCGTCACCAACCTCAAGTACTGTAATCACCCAGGCACCCTCCTCTAACAGGCCAATTGTGTAAGTGATTCCAGTTAGTCACTGATTGTCTCTCTCAAATTTCTGTCTCTCTGTGTATGTGTGTGAGAGAGATTATTTGTGAGTCATGATATTTGGAAACATGCAGAATCCTTTTTTAGGTATTAATATTTAAGATTGTCTTTTATTTTTATGATGTTTTACACAAAGCATAAAGTTTCTCCACTACCAGATGACATTTGTTTCTATTCTTACAAGTAACTCCCAAGAGCCCTTTGATGAGAACTTTTCTCATTGGACATTGTCCCAAAGGAAATTCAGAACTTTTCCTAGTTTTTTTTTGTTTGTTTGTTTGTCTTGTTTTGTTTTGACACTCCTACATTCCTTATGCATATTTAAGGAGGGATTAAAAGCAAATTTTGCGATTTGCTTTCTGGTGGTCAGAAAATTTATTTTTAAATAATATAACAGGAATAAAAATACTGTTGTATTTTCAAGAGATGATTGGTATGGATCTTTAAGATTTCCCCTTGTTTTGCTTTTCTTAGCCCTGTACCAGGCCCATTTCCTCTTCTGTTACATCTTCCTAATGGACAAACCATGCCCGTTGCTATTCCTGCATCAATTACAAGTTCTAATGTGCATGTTCCAGCTGCAGTCCCAGTAAGTTTCAAAGTTAGACTATTTAAGTCTTTGTATCAAAACTAGTGTTGATAAGATAACCACAAAATATGGTTGAATTTGCTTGATTGGCTTATAAAACTGAATTTATTAAAATTCTCATTAGTGGCAGATAATATTTATTCATTGATACTTACAGTAATAAAATATACCATTCTACAATTGGAAAAAAACATTTTTTTCCTATTCCCAACTTATTTTCTGTATTTTTTTAAATTATATTATGAAGAATATTCCTCAATTCAGCTCATTTTTGTTTGAGTAGATTTGAGGAATTCAAATTTTGGGGGGATTTTAAATTTTTTTAAAAGACCATTTGTACTGGAATCTTCAAATAGCTATGGTGTTTTTAGTTACAAAAGTTTTTTAACAGAAAAATACTCTGGACCTTTTTGGTCAAATGAAGTTTGCAGAATTCTTTTCATGAGCTAAGCATATTAAGGTTTGAACTTTTTTTTTGAGACATTGTCTCACTATTCTACCCTGGCTAATCTGGAACTCACAGTGATCCACCTGCCTCTGCTTCCTGAGTGCTATGATTAAAGTCACAGACCACCATCCCCAGGTTTGGTCTGAACATTCTTATCCAGGCATGGTGGCACATGCCAATAATCCCGGCGCTCAAGACGCAGAAATAGGAAACTAGCTCTATAGTAAGTTTAAGGCCAGCCTGAGCTATATGAGACTTTGTAATGAAAAAAATCCAGAAGAGGTTTTATGAGGGGTGTTCTGTTTTGGTTTTCATTGCTGTGATAAAACCAAGGTGGGGAGGAAAGGGCTTTATTTCAACTTACAGTTTATAGTTTATCTTTGAGGGAAGGCAGTAACCTGAAGGCAGGAACTGAAGCAGAAACCACAGAAGAACACGGCTTACTGGTTTGCTTTCCCTTGCTTGATCAACTACTTTTCTATTTGTTTATTTATTTGTTTTGCCTTTGTGTATGTAAGTGCACTCATGTACACAATGCTCATAAAGGCCAGAGAGGGTGTCAAATCCCTTGGAACTGGAGTTATGGATCATTGGTAGCAGCCATGTGGGTGCTGGGAACTGAACCTGAGTCCTCTGCCTATAAGCCATCTCTCCAGTCCCTGAGCTACTTTTCTTTTAAATTTTTTTTTTAATGTGTTTGAGTGTATTGCCTGCATGTGTGTAGGTGCACTCATGTTATGCAATGCCCACAGAAGTCAGAAGAGGGCATTAGAGTCCCCTGGAACTGTAGTTACAGACATTTTTTAGCTGCTTTGTGGGTACTGGGTCCTCTGCAAGAGCAGCCAGTGCTCTTAACCACTGAGCCAACTCTCCAGCCCCTCAGATACTTTTCTTATATATCCCAGTCCTATCTGTCCAGGGGTGGCACTGTCCACAATGAACTGGGCCCTCCTGCATCAATTAGCACTCAAGAAAATGACCCCACAGACATGTCCACTGGCCAGTCTCTTAGAGGTAATTCCTCAGTTGAGGTTTCACCTCCTGAGTAGCTCTAGTTTGTGTCAAGTTGACAAAAACTAACCAGCACAAGGAACATGTAAAGTATATAAATTTTGGAACATAAAAGTACATTATTGGAGAGTTAGAGCAATGAGTCAGCTATTAAGAGCAGTTATTGCTTTTGAAGAGGATGTGGATTCAATTCCCAGCATCCATTTCAGGCTTCTCACAACTGCATGTAATTCCAGCTTAGGGGGATCCAACACTTCTGGCTGCTTTGGGCACCTGCACACATGTGCACATGCCCACACACAGATGTGTAATTAAATCAAATTATACAAAATTTTTAAAGTACATTATTTGAAATGATGAAAGAACTAATTTTTTTTCTCATTTCACAAAATATTTGTGGTAGTTTGAATGAGAAATGTCCACCATAAGTTCAAGTATTTGAACACTTGGTATATGGTCCCAGTTGGTGGCTGTTTGGGGAAGACCATGGAAGCTTTTGGAAATATGCCTGTGCTGGAGGAATCAAATCACCGAAGGCAGGCTTTGAGAGTTTATAATTGTGTCCTACTTTCAGCTTACCCTCTCTGCTTCCTGCATGTGCTTGAAAATGTGAGCACTTAGCTTTCTATTCTGGCTGCCTCTGCAGCCATGCCTCCCTGTCATGATGGACTGTTATTCCTCTGGAACCATAAGCCCAAACAGACTCTTTCAAGTTGCCTTGATCATGGTGTTTTATCACAGTAATAGAAAAGTAACTAGAACAATAGTTTCTTTCATAGTCTTCAGTGTCTTCAACATTTCACATTTTCATTCTGAGAACAATTTTTAGACATATGTTTCTAACAATTATTTTCATTTTTACCTAAATTATGATATAGCATGTTTTGAATTTCTCATTAATATTCTGGAAATAATATCCTAAGTCTTATGCATGTAATTAAAAACTTCTAGGGCCAGTGAGATAACTCAGCTTGTAAAAGTGCTTTCTGCTGGATGTGGTGACCCACACCTTTAATCCCAGCACTTGGGAGGCAGAGGCAGGTGGATTTCTGTGAGTTCAAGGTCAGCCTGGTCTACATGAAGATCCAGGCCAGCTGGGGCTACAGGGAAACCCTGTCTCAAAAAGACCAAAGGGAAAAAAAAAAAAAAACAATATTTTTTTTTAATGGTGCTTTCCATCAAGCTTGACAGCTTAAGTTTGATACTTAGGTCTCACATGGTGGAAAGAGAGAACCAAGTTCATCAAGTTGTCCTCTTCCTCCACATGTGTGCTGTGGTATGCACCCACACATAACTATGAAAATAAACGTAATAACAAAGTTTAAAAATTGTTTTAAATGTAATTTTTTCTGGGCTGGCAAGATGGCTAAGTGGGTAAAAGGTGTTTGCCACCATGCCTGACCACCTGAGTTCAATCCCCAGAACCCACATAGTAGGACAGAACTGACTCCCATAAGTTGTCCTCTGCATGCACACACACAAAAATAAATGTAAAATAATTTTTTTCCCTTTACCTTTTAGATACATACTGTTGACCCATATGGTATAATCACTTACCGGGTAGCCTTTCAAAAATTTTTTTTAACTTTTAAAAAAACTTTATTGAGAATTTCATACATGCGTATAAGGTGTTTTGTTCAAATCCACACCCACTCCCTCCCCTCCAACACCTCCCATATCTCCCCATCACTTTTTTCTGACAACTTCGTGTATTCTCTCTCTCTTTCTTTCTTTTCTTTTCCCTCCCTCCTTCCCTCCCTCCCTTCCTTCTTTCTCTTTCTTTTTCTTTCTTTTCTTAATGGGACTTTTTGCTACTCTAACATTCCGCCCCCCCAAGAGATAACCCTAAAATCTTTTAGGGATTAGATAAAAGTTCCCAAATACTTTTGACATTTTTGACCTTTGGAACAGAGTATGTTACTAAGAGGCCCAAGGACATTTTGACTTTTAGCCAAGAAATTGGCTACTTTTTTGGGGGGTCTTTTTTCATTAACATTGGTAGCATATTAAGTATATTAAATATTTACATTGTTAAAAAATACTTGGATATTACTTTTTAAAAAATGATTTAAGTATCCAAAAATAGTATTGATTTAGGTAATTCCAAAATAATGTATCTTCTTCAAATAGAACTGTGTTGTTTAAAATGCATTACTTTAAAGACTTAATGAAGCCAAGGTGTGGCATCTCACTCCTTTAATCCCAGCACTCTGGAGGCAGAGGCAGGTGGAGTGAGTTTGAGGCCAGCCTGGTATATTTAACAAAATCCAGACCAACCAGGGCTACATAGTGAAACAATGTCTGAAAAAATAAAAGACTCAGATACAAGGTTTTCTTTCACTTTTCTGATGAGTTTTTGATGGGAGAAACATTCCTGCTTCATATTTGATGTAATATGATTATCCTTTTAAATATACCCTTGTTGAAAGCAACTTGAAATGAAAAAAGAGACAAATTTTTATTTGTAGAATACTTACTAAAGGCAAATGCAAAAGTTGTAAAATCTGTTCCAGGTTATTATTTGAAAAATAGAAGTCATCAGCTTCTTCATTATTATACAATATGTTAATATATCAGATTGCATGTTTTAGAAAATTTATATGCCTATTTTAGAAAAGAAAACTCATTGTTGAAATTATTTTATGCCTTGTCACAGTTTTGATGCTCCTTTTAAACACAAAATGAAAATGTAAGAGATGCAAAAATGTTTGCAACAATGGCTTTGAATATCATGAGCTTCTATAAAAGGGAACCGATAAGGCCAGCTACTCAGAAACTCCAGCTACTCAGAAACCTGAGACAGAAGGAATGGAAGGTCAAAGCCAAACTGGGCTACAGTATGAGTTCAGAATCATCCAGAGAAACTGTGACATCCTCTCTCAAATCAAATAGTAACAAGAGGCAAACTCAAATCAGATAAAAACTGAGGGAAAAGGGCAGGAGTCCCCTCCCCTTATTTTTTGTGGGGGGGGCAGTCTTTTGAGACACGGTCTCCCTATAGCCCCCGCTGGCCTGGAATTTGCTAGGTAGACCAGACTGGGCTTGACTCAGAGATCCATGTGCCTCTGACTCCTGAGTCCTGGGATTAAAGGTCTGTGCCACCACACCTGGCAGAAGGCCCCAGTCTTAGCCAAAGAACTGTTGGCAGCTAATCACTGCTGGGTTAGGGAGAACTGATCTTTAGGGGAGTGACGCTAGGAAGGCTGAACAGGCTCCAGTGGATGAACTCACCCTGAGGAACATCTGGGTACAGAAATTTGACTCAATAAACCTTAACATATATGACAGAATATATGAAATCCTGTGGGCAGGCTATGGGGGTCCCGGAAGGGGTATATATAGGGGAGGGAGACTAAATATGATTAAGATGCATTATATGAAATCCACAAAAAAAAAACCCAGAACAATAAACCAGTATTTAAACACACACCCCCTGAAAAAAGTAAAAAGAGGGCTAGTGATAAAGCTTAGAAGTAGAGCTCATATGCACAAGGCCTTAGGTTCAGTTCATAATGGAGGGGTAGGGAAGGAGAAACCCTTTGAGAACAATTTGTGAAAACTAGAAATTAGTGTCTTGGTGAAAGATAAACCTTTTGAAAGATCATTAAAGTCCAGTGCTGAGAAGCAACTACAGTTAAAGTTTATGAATTTCTGATTCTAAGGTTCAAATTATCATAGTCATCATGTAAAAATGCTCAACTGAAGTATTTTCAATATCTTTTGTACAGCTTGTTCGACCAGTCACCATGGTGCCTAGTGTTCCAGGAATTCCAGGCCCTTCTTCCCCTCAACCAGTACAGTCAGAAGCAAAAATGGTAAGCAAGGTTGTATTTGTCCCAAACATTTTTTGAGCCTGTTTTGTATTTATTTGTTTTTCTCCAGTAAGACCAGCATTTTATAAAGTTGCCTGCTGTTTTACACTATAGAAGAACCAGAAATTTTGGAAAAGGAAAACTTCTGTTAGGATAATGACTCACTCATGGCCCTTTAAATATAAAGGATGAACTGGGAATAAAATTCTAGTTCTTGGGGCACTGACTGTTCTTACAGAAGACCCAAGTTCAAGTCTCAGCACCCACATGGCAGCTTAACAACTGTCCATAACCCCCTTTCCAGGGGATCCGACAGCCTCTTCTATCCTCCGCAGGCATTGCACAACATGGGTGCATTTACTTATGCAGGCATAACACTCATACACATAAAATAAAAATATTAAATAAAATTTTTTTTTAATTCTAGTTCTTGTGATTTGTCTGGTTTTGACTGTGCCTTAAACAAACTCTCCTCCTATTGGAGGCTAGGAGTATTACAGCTAAAACAATGTAATGTGTGAAAGCCCAATGAGTGCTTTTGAACATGGTAAAAAAAATTCTTAAAATAGTATACAAGTAAGAATACTGGATTTTTCTGTGTGATTTCAACATTGAGATTAGTGTTGTTTAGGAATCAGGAATAAATACTGTTTGCTATAAGGGTAGCCCATAATTCTAACATCTTTAAAATTAGCACCAAATCATTGGTTGAAGACCTATAAATAGGGAGTCAGATTGACCCACTTAAATTTAATAGTCCAATTAAATTTATTATATTTTGCTAATGTAAAATACCCATATTTTTATGATTGCCTATTTTAGTTGGAAGAGTAAATACATTGTCTTTTTAAAAATATTTTTATTATTTATGTGTGTGAATGTATTGCCTGCATGTATGTAAGTGCACCCGTGTCTTGCAGTGCCCTTGGAGGTCAGAAGGATGAGTTAGATCCCCTGGAACTGGAGTTATAGATGGTTGTTAGCCACCATGTGGGTGCTGGGAATCAAACGGTCCACTGCAAGAGCAGTCAATGTTCTTAACTGCTGAACTATCATATCTCCAGCACCAATTGTTTTAGTCTTAATTAAATAAAAAAATGAAATTATTCTTTTAAAATTGTGTTTGTTCATGAGTGCACCCATGCACATGTGTGGAGGCTGGCGAGGGTGTCCCTTGTCTCTTGTCGCCTTATTTTTTATTATTTTTATTTTATGTGTATGCATGTATTGCCTGCATTTAAGTAAGTGCACCCATGTTGTACAGTGCCTGAGGCGGACAGAAGGCGGCGTTGGAGCCCCTGGAAATGGAGTTACAGACAGTTGTTAACTGCTGTGTGGGTTCTAGGATGCAAACCCAGGTCTTCTACAAGAACAGCCCGTGCTCTTAACCTCTTGAGCCATCTCTCTAGCTCCACTTCAGCTTATAGTTTTGAGACAGGGCCTCTTACTGAACCTAGAGCTTAGGATTTCAACTTGACTGGCTGACCAACAAGCCCCTGGGATCTGTCTGTCTCCATATACCCAGCACTGGAGTTATAGGCACATGCTGCCACATTTATGAGTGCTGAGGATCCAAAGTCAGGTTTACAAGCACTTTACCCACTAAGCCATCTTCATAGCACCTCCCCATCCCACTCCTACTTTAAAATGGAGATTTTTTTTATGTGTATGAGTGTATTGTCTGCATGTGTGTAAGCACACCCATGTTGTTCAGTGCCCAAGGAGGTCAGAAGAAGACGTCAGATCCCCTGGAACTGGAATTAAAGACGGTTGTTAGCTGCCATGTAGGTGCTGGGAATTGAACCCAGGTTATCTGCAAAAGCACTCAGCACTCTTAACTGCTGAGCCTTCTCTCCAGCTCCAAATGATGGAAAATTTCAACATAGGCAAGATAACTAAAAGTAAACAGGATAATATAATAACCTACCATGTGCTTATCGCTCAACTTCAGTGGTTAGTAATAACTGCCATTCTTGCTTTATCTGTGCCTAACCTCCATTCAGTTATTTCATAGATTTTTTTATTTATTTAATAACCACATAATTAGAAGAAGCATTTCATTACAACAGCAATTTCCAGAGCTCTTTCAAAACTGGCTGTAAATTTTTAGGTTTACAGTTGAACTAATACAGTTATACAGTATTGTACTCAGTATAAACCCCATAAGACATAAAACTGAATGAGGTTTTAACCTTTAAAAAAGATCTCCATTTCATTTAAAAATGCACTGTTTCATACAGAAAAACTCATTTTTAATGCAACTAACACTTAGATGTTGGTACATGTGTCTCTGATCTATATATCTGATTATTACTAGTCACAGTCAGTTACTTTCTGAGATCTTTGGCACCTGAGCATGGATATAAAGTCATCAGGTAGATTTCAATGATAATGTTTTTCACATCTACTAATTAACATGAAGCAAATTGTTATGCTTCTTCAAATATAACTCATTTTTTAAATTTATTGATTTTTTGTGTGTGTCTGTGTCTTTCATACAGAACATCCCAAACAATCTTAATCATCTTTATACCCACATCCCAAGTGGCACCCCTCCCATAGTCTCCCCCCCACACACACTGGAGCCCATATACTCTGTCATCCCTGTTACTGTCCACTGTGTTATCAGCACCCCTAGCCGTTCCCCAGTGCTTGTCCATCCGCTGAGTCTAGTCAGCCTGTCTATAGTTCCTTGTTTTAGGAAGATCAGCTCTTCTTCATCCAGCAGCAATCAGTTGCCAGTATTCCTTTAGATAAGATTGTGGTCTGCTGTTCATTTTCCCAGTTCTATGCTGGATATTTCATGGATTTTACTGTAAACTTTTTATGTATTTAAATGATCCACTTTATTTTAATTTTATGTATATGAAATGTTTTGCCTGCATGTAGTAAGTATACCACATGCATGCAGGACCACAGAGACCAAAAGAAGGTATCAGATCCCCTAGATCTAGAGTAACAAATGGTTGTGAGCTGCCATGTGGGTGCTGGGAACTGAACCCAGGTTCTCTGGAAGAGTAGTCAGTGGTCTTAACTGCTGAGTCATCTCTCCAGCCCCAAAATGAGCCACTTTTAACTGCACTGTTTTAGTAAATAAGTACATTTTATGTAACCTATGCTGTTGTTGTGCTGTGTAGAATATTAACATATGCTCCAAAAGTTTTTCTAATCAGTTATCTTCTTTTGTGGTTTGCCACCATAAATTAATTCTTAAATTTTGTATAAATACTCAGTGTATACTGTTTTGTGTATAGATCAGTGGGTAAATAAAATCTCTGAGATTTATTCATATTGTTGAAACTATTATATCTTCATTTTATTGCAGAGTAGTGTTTCATTATATGAGTGTACTACAGTTTTTTTTGTTGATTTTCTCAGTAATGGACACTTAGTTTCCAGTGTTTAGCTATTGTGATTAAAGCCAATGTGAACTTGCTTATTTTGTCTTGTCTTGTCATGTCTTTGCAGTGTTAGAGATCCAATCCAAGGCCTCACAAATGCTAAGTAAGCTAAATGCCGCTGAGCTATACTCAGTCCCATCTATGACAGACATTCTCGTATATCTCTTTGTGGACATAATTTTTATTTTCTTGGACAAATACCATGTTATTAAGAAGAACCTTGAACTTGGGATCCTTCTGCCTCCCCCTCCTAAGTGCTGGGTATCAAACCTAGAGTGTGCTGGACAGCCCTCTACCAGCTGAGCTACATCCCAGCCCGTTTTTGTTTGTTTTTCTTTTCTTAATATACAAATTGCCTTTGCTTCTGTTTCATTTTATTTTGTTTCGTTTTTTTTGTTTTTTTGTTTTTTTTCTTTGAGACAGGGTCTCTATAGCCCAGGTGGCCTAAAACTCATTATATAATCTAATATGACCTCAAATTTGAAGCAGTCTTCCTACCTCAGCCTCCCAAGTGCTGGGATTACAGGTGTGAGGTACCATGCTCAACTCACTTTTACTTTTCTTAAGAATATATTTATGTTTATTGATTAACTTTTAATACTCTCTTCTAATTTGTTAGCTTCTTAAAGTAGAATCCTAGATCATTAATTGACTTTTTTTTCTTTCTAGTGTAGGCATTTATAGCTATAAATTTCCTTTTATTGAGAAATTTAATATACCACATTTTTTTATGTGTATGAGTATATTGCCTGCATGTATGTGAGTGTACCTGTGTCATACAGTGCCGCAGAGGTCAGAAGAGGGCTTTGGATTCCCCCAGAACTGGAGTTAAGGATGGTTCGTAGCCACCATGTGGGTGCTGGGAATCGAACCCGGGTCCTCTGCAAGAGCAGTCAGTGCCCTTAACCCACTGAGCCATCTCTCCAGCCCCAATATGCTACATTTTTATCACCACAAATTTTCTGATTTCCCCAATGATTTCTTTACCAAGTGTGTTATTTAGAAGTGTATTGTGTAATTTTCAAATATTTCTGAGCCTTTCAACTTGTTTCTTAGTAATTTCTATTCTAATGATGTTGCAGTTTGAGAACTTAGCATTTTGGGTGCTCTTCAGGTATTTAATAGCTATTTCTATCCCTTGTTATTTATCAAACATTTCATGGGTTAGTAAGACATTTCAATAGGCATTATCTTAAATTTAGAGATTTTTTCATATTTTTAGTGTTCTTGAGGAAATCAAGAGTCCCGTCTTCCGTTGATTTTTTTTTTTTTTCAACGTGCAGAACTGTTTGGCTTGTATCTCATATGAATGAGGTATTTGGAATATTTTTTGTTTTATTGATGCCATTCATGATGACTTTTGTGCACAAAAATTATTCAAAAACTACTTTTAAAAGCAATTTGCATTTATGTAAGTTACAGATTTGAAATTTTTATTCTCAACGCAATTTCCAAACAGTTATGTATCTGCTTTTTTAAAGGGTTTGAAATACAGTTAATTTAAAACATGCTAAACTGCATGTATAAACTCAATATAGCTTTCCTAAGAAACTTTCCTTAGTGCTCTGATAGCTGTTAAACATAGTAAGGCTTGGGATTCTT